TCTCCTTCTCATCACTGGTCCTTCCTCTGTGAGAGCCATGTGAAATCACTGAATTGGTGTGTGTCTGTCCACAGAGCTCAGGAGTGATAAAGCATGGAGCCCGAGGAAAGAAACAGACACTGAAATCTGCCTCTACAGATCTAGGCACTACTGACGTGGGTATGGCCCACACACACAATGTAAATGTGAATCTACTTCAGTGCTAAACTTACAGACTGGGGAATATGGCCAAAATATCAGATAACATATAACAATAATAATGTATTTTGTCTTTTAGAATTTTGTCTATAATTTAGAACCAGAATGATTGATTTTATGTTGCTGAGTGACATGATGCTGTGTTCCACCTGTGTTCCACTTCCACACAGATGGCAATGCAGCAGTTAAATTAAAAAAGTAAAAAAAAAATGTCTTCCCTGGATTATCACTGGCAGGCTGTTTTGCTACTCGATGCATACCTTCAAAGTGTCAATCCATTTCTCTGTGCAGTGGTGAGTCGTGTGCTGGAGGTTACAGACTTGCCTGAAGGCATCTCTCGCCCAGAGGCCGAGAAGCTCTTCAACCAGCTCTCGATGTGTGGGGCCAAGATCCAGTGGCTGAAGGAGCCACAGGCATCCCGGGGAACTGGCACTACTCCAGCGCATGGAGCTGGAGGGGGCGGGGCAGTAGGAAAGGGCGACACCCATGACCCAGCACACCTCTACACTGTGGTGGCAGTGTTCCCCAACACCATGGCTGCACAGAGCGCTTCCTTTAAGCTCAACAACAGCGGAGGGAGTCTGTTCAAACTGCGCGCTGCCAAAAAGAACTATGACCTGCGCGTACTAGAGAGAGCTAGCTCACAGTGAGGAAAGAGAGAGAGAGAGGGAGAGGAGTGGGGTGGAAGAATGGAGAGAAGAAAGAGATCATACTGATTTTCTCAGTCTTTTTTTTGTATCATTACGCAAAGAAGACATAACACATGTAAGCATGTGTACCTCTGTTGTACCTCTGTATATATAATTCCTTATGTACACACAGACGCACACACTTACACACACAGCCATGCACTGGACAGAGGGTGTTGGACAGGCTCCTCCCCATTTTTCTGTCTCTCTTTTCATCCTGTCTCTCCTTCAGTCATCATATGCCTTCTCTCTCTCGCTCTCTCTGGCTAATATTTCCTCTATCACATTCTTTTTCTGATGCTCCTCTCTCTCTCTCTCTCTCTCTCTCTCTCTCTCTCTCTCTCTCTCTGCACTTTCAAGATGGCTTTCTATCTTTCTTTCTCTCTCTTGCTTTCCGTTTGCCTTAATGCTGTTGTGGACTTCTGTATTGCGCTGTTCTTTCTCATATTCTCTCTCTCTCTCTTTCTTTCTCTCTCTCTCTCTTTCTTTCTCTCTCTCTCACAGATGAAATATTGAAATATTGTTCCTCTTTTGTTCGATATATTTATATAAGTGATGTAAGGATTATAAGAAATCTATATATTCAGTGATTTTTTCCCCGGTGGATAAGTTAAAGTTCCTTTACAACCTGTCCCCATCCATGTCTTTCCTCCCTTTTACTCATTTTCCCCCCACGCTCCCTCGTCCCTTCCTCCTTCATCATTGTGTTTTGCATCTTTTTTTTGTGTGACAGCTGTGCAGAAAGTTATCTGAGGTATTTAATTGCACAAAGATTGCAAATGTCTACTGTAAATTCATTCTGTTCTTTTTTTGTTTGTTTTTAAAAATATAAAAGAAGACAAAAAAAATCCCTTTGTGTGTGTTTTTTAAAGGGGAACTGAAGAGGAGTTTGTAGAGGAAGAGCAATGAGTTGCAAATGCATAATGATTTTTAATAACTCGGGTCATATTACTGATGAATACATTTTTTGATTATTTAAAAAAAAAAAAGCTATTGAAAACCCCTTCAAATTAAAGAGTTGAAATGAATACTGGAATCAGATGCTCTGACAGTAGTGTAATTCAAATCACAGGTTTATATCAATGTACTTGTTCTAAAACATAATTTTTTCAATAGTAACAGCTCATTCAAAGGAACCTGTATGGCAGACAATCCTCCTAATCTAACAATAAATAAACTGATAATGAATGTGTACGGTCATTGATATAGTGAGATTTCTGTAAGGAGATTCCAGTATCAGAGTCTCAAAGTAAGAGAAAAAAGATTGATAGAAACAAGTCTGGTGAAAGAATAACTGTGTATAGCTGCTATCCACTGATAACACAACCTAATGACAGTAAAGGTAAATATAAACAGTTAAAATGTATGTGTTTATTAATAAATAAAAACATCGTAATCATAGGCAAGTTGTTATGAGGAATACAACACCTTTAGTTGATAAAGCATTACATTACCCCACATAATGCACATATTCCAACACTTGGTTTACATGGACTTGAATAATGTCAAGTGTGTTATCATCTGCTAAAAGTCCTATTCAGAAGGGACTATCAATTGGAGGATTTGAAAGAATTGTCCATTTGGCTTGTTCATTTCTTTCAGTGGGGTGTAAACTCCTGACAGGTGCAGCTGTTTCAAATACTGTTTGTGGTCCACATATGTTGACTCACACTTCCAAGGGGACTGGTGCATTACTCCCAGAATTCCCCATCTGTTGGGGGTGGGTGAGGGGTTTGGGTTCAGCTCTGAAGGCCGCTCACTTCCCTAAATCCCAGCCAGTTTGCAACCAAATCAGCACATATTGACTAAGGTAAGATTGCATATTTATAAATTAGTGCAGAGATTTTTCATTGGTAGACCTTGTTTTGACTTGTAAGTGATTGGAAAAGCTACAAGCAGGGTTTTTACCTCCACTTTAGAAGATTTTATAACAGTTGGTATGTGCTTTTGCTTGAGTTTTAAACACCAACTAAGTAAATATGTTTTTATGAATTACTGTAATATGCATTCAGAATCTCACTTTCTTAATGATGAGTCACAAAGATAATGAACTGCATCCTCAAAATGCAAAATTCTCTTTAGTTTATTATCTTATATTTCACAACACTTATGGTCCCTGCTACACTACTTCAAATAGAAATCTACCACCACACATTAATTGCCTCATCTATTACCTAATCTACATATAGCTACTTGGAATATTATATAAGGGAAGGCTTTTTATGTTTTGCTTGACAGTTAAATATACTTTTCATTCAGAATTATTATGTAAAAAGAACAACAACAACTACTACTACTACTACTAATACTTCTAATAATAATAATCATCCAAATTTGGGTCTTGTATGTTATGAGATGAAGATGTCATGATATGTTTAATGTTACAGCGCCCCCTGCTGGTTGTACAGAAGCTGCTCTGCTTTCAGACATGTCCCACTTTGACCAGTAAGTGTCCAGCATATGACTCATTTTTTTCCCCTTCACATCTAGGGCATATTCCACCGTTTTCAACCTAATGTCTATCCAATGCATCTGTGCCCTATGGACAATGACCCGGTAATAGAATTTTTACAAGTACTGTGAAAAGAATGGAAAGTTCATAGAGCAGTATGTGTTTGTGTGTGTGTATATATATATATATATATATATATATATATATATATATATATATATATATATACACAGTTGAGGTCAAAAGTTTACATACCCCTTTCAGAATCTGCAAAATGTTTATTATTTTACCAAAATAAGAAGGATCATACAAAATGCATGTTATTGTTTATTTAGTGCTGACCTGAATAAGATATTTCACATAAAAGATGTTTACATATAGTCCACAAGAGAAAATAATAGTTGAATTTATAAAATTGACCCCGTTCA